ACTGTTAATTGGATTTAAAATTTTTTTGGGGCAATATTTTTTCTCTATGAGGGGCCTGGGGTCATTACCTACTACCTGAGGTATCCCTAAAAGAGAAAATGCCAAGTGGGGTTGAGCAATTGTTGCATGGCATAAATAAATATAAATTATCCAACTAACATTGAAATGAGTTCTTGATTACAAAAAAAAGATAAGATATTCAAATTATTACTTTATTTTGAAATAAAAATATATTTTTGCAGAATATTTTTAAATTTTAGAATAAAAATTTGGAGCCTGTAAGTTCATTTAATTTTTATTTTTTAAATAAAACTGATATATAAAAACATGATATATACAGGGTGCAATGGGTAAATTGTTTGCCATTTTATATTTTTAATTTCATGCATGCGTTGTTTTTTTTTGATTTTGTTGACTGTACAGTATAGTAGTCAGTTGGGCACCATTTGTGAGAAAAAGAGCACCATGATGCAATTCACTCTGCCAGAAACATCTTTCTGTACTGCTTGGCATTCACACCAGAGGCCCCAATAAAAATATTTCAGAGTGTTTGGGTGTCAATCTGAAGACAGTGCAGAGTATTTGGAAAGAGGTAAAGGAGTCTAATGGTAAGTACGAAGGTCCAGTAGCTGAGAAAACTCACTGATCATTCTAAAAAGAAAAGAACTCCATTCAAATTTCCCACAGGGCCTCAGACTCAACACAGAGGCTTACATCAAGTGCCTTGATGAGGTAGTGCTGCCCTGGGTCAAGAGGGTGGCTGCTGTGTCTGGCAACAGGATTCTGCACCATGCCACACCAACAGGAGAACCCAGTCATGGCTGTGAGACAATTTCTGTGACCACATCACCCCTTACATCTGGCCACCTAACTCCCCAGACTGCAACCCCTTGATTATTATGTGTGGGGAAGCAGTTGAGAGAGAGAGACCAACAAAATTCCTTGTAACACCAAAGATGAACTGAAGGCAAGGATTATGGCAGCATTCTAAGTCCAACTTAAACAAGGAGACCATCCAGAAGATTTGCAGGAGATTTCAAGATATTTTTCTGTAAGGTAAATATATTGAAGCCAATGGTGATTTTATTTTGAATAATTTTACTTTTCCATAGTATTTCAAGATATTTTTTGTGTATTTTATTTTAAAAAATAATGCTGAGCAAATAAAGAGATGTGACACCACCCTTCCTGCATTTGCATGAAAATTTTCAACAAGTAGGTCATTCAGTTATCTAACTGTTACACCTAAAATACAGACGTGTAGTGCATGCTCATTAGATTTTTGTTTTCATGCCAGATCATCGAACACATTGAGTAGAGATATTGCATCAAGTTTTGCCAAAAGCTTGGTGATACTCAAGCTCAATCCAAAAGATTCAGCAGGCCTTTGGTGATGATGCCATGGGGCAAAACTCATATCAAAAAGTGGCATAACCACTTTAAACATGGTCACAGCTCAGTGAAGAGCGAGGCATGATCAGACAGGCCATCCACAAACCAAAACAAGGAGCCAATCAAGAACGTTTGGTGAATAGTCATAAAGACCGTCGTACTGCTGATAAAGCACAGAATCAGATAATCCCATTTTAACAAAGGATTTGTACATGCAGAGAGTGGCAGAGAAATTCACCTGCTCATTCCACCCACGTAATCCTGGTCACCATACTTATTCAACAGGCACCCTACTCTCTCAACTTGGGACCATGTGACTTCTGGCTCTTCCCCAATCTGAAAATTACACTATTTGATTTGAATTTGAAAGGAAAAAAAGAAAATAACAGCAGAGCTCTATAGTATTTTCAGAAAGGTATTCAAAAGGTTTTACCAGTGTTAAAAGAACCACTTTTTTGTGTGAATTTAAGGAACATTTTGAAGTCAATTAAAATAAATTTGAAATATACAAAATTGATATTTTTATGGCCAAAGGTCGGACACTTTATGAATGCACCTCACATATCTTGAGGTTCTTAACAAAATTCAAAAAAGGTCTCTAATGTAATCAATCCTGAGCCACCATGATATGGCTTTCCTCTGTCTTTTCTACAAATATTTTTATGGCAATTGTTCTGATGAGCTTTCCTTTCAAGTGCCTTAACCGCATGAATTTAAGCATGCTACTAGATTGGCAACTAGATCACACTGCATTATTTGTAAACTAGGTAGATGCACCCATATGTTCTATTCTAATAGTTTCTTTTCTTGCACTTCTCGCCTGTGGAACTCTCTTCTTGTTTTTTGCTTCCCTGCCAAGTAGTTTTCAAAAAATATAAATGCAACACCAATTGTCATCTTCTGTATTCCTGAATTCTGTTCTTTTATTGTCCTTTCTCCTCATTAAAATCTTCTCATTCTCTTTCACTCCCAATAATCCCTTGTGTCTTAGTGGCTTTATTACCTTGCTCAGAGTGAAATGATTTAAAAAAAAAAAAAAAGCAAAAAAAGAAGCAATAATTTTGGTAGAATTCCTGAACAAACTAAGATTGTCCACATCTTTTTTTCAAGCATGTGATACTGTTGTAGCATACCTACAGACAATAATGTGTATGTCCCCATTCACATAAATACAGTAGTAAATATTGTATATTGGTCTGCAGTTGAAGATTCATTTGGAATGAACTTAACTTGAATTTTTTAGCAGTTGACTACTATTTTCTATGGGCCACTGGCAAATCTTATATGAACTTAATTATTCTTTCATAAAAGTATTATTTAATTTCATTACCAATCTTCATTTGGTTATTCTATTCAGTAACCTTCCATTTTTAAATTAACAGATTAAAAATTATAATGAAATCATATGATTACTTTCAAGTCAACCATGCTGTTCATACATAAAAAATTGCTTGAACAAAAATTTTTTCAGCTATATATATATATATATATATATATATATATATATATATATATAAATATATAGAAGAGAGAGAGAGAGATAGATAGAGATATTTTACAGAATCCAAAGAATCTGCCACATTTTTGGTCCTGACATGGCATCTTGGCTTTACTCCCTTTCTCACTGTCACAATGTAGATTCCCTGTGCCTTTTCCATAGATATTTTTACAGCATTTGTTTTGATAAACTTTCTTCTTTGGTACCTCAACCTTATGAATTTAAGTGTTCTACTAGACTGGCAGCTAAATCTTAAAATTTCACTGTTAAAAGTGATAGATGCAACCATAAGTTCTATGCTAACAGTTTCTTCTCACACACTTCTCACTTGTGGAACTCTCTTCTCACTTTTCAATCAAGTACAATCTTTAAAAATTTAATTGCAACATAGCCATCTTCTGTTACCATGAATCTGTTCATTTATAGCAGTGGTTCTCAACCGGGGTCTACATGGACCCTAGGGGTCCATGTAATATTAATCCAAAATATCAGGCAAAACACAATTGTTGTGTTAATTAAAAATAGTAATAATAATTATTATTATAATTATAGTAGAATATTTTATTTGTATTAAATTAGTTTTTCATTTAAAAAATAAAGCTTAATCGTATACTATTTCTTTGATAATTAAAACCTTAAAATTTATATTAGTGAAGAATAGAAAATTGTTCTTATGTCCAATAGCTATGAAGGGGTCCACCAAGATAAAAAGGGGTCCATGGGTAAAAAAAGGTTGAGAACCACTGATTTATAGTTTTGTTTTCTCAGTTTCTTTCACTCTCAATAACCCCTTGTGTCTTAGTGGCTTTTATTGCCTTGCTTGGGGGTGAAATGATACAAAGAAACTTGAGCAAGGCCATCTACTTCTGCTAGTAAATCAAGAACTAAGAATTCTTAGCTGATTAGAATGAAATGGTAGGCAAAAAACAAATAATTTGAAGAAATGGTAGGCAAAAGAATGAAAAGAATTGTTGAACAAGAGAATTAAAAGATATTTCAACTAATGTGTAAATTATGACTACAAACTAAAAATACTAATTTTGGTGAAGTTTTAGAATAGTTAAAGTTACTGTGACTAGAAATAACTTTTTTTTTTCAAATCTTTTTCCGTATTACTTTAAACTAAGTATTCCAAATCCCAAATATGAAAAAACTTTCTTTTAATAAGATTTTATAATAAATTATTAATTTAATAGTAAATTTTGTTATGTAAATTCATTGTAAATTGATTTCCACTATGGAAGGCAAAAAAATATGCTCATGTTCCCAATTTACAAATAGCAGCAAAAAGCCTTTGAATCATTTATTTTTTTCCAAAAGTTTTGCAGATATTACTACTGATTTAGCACTTCAGGTAACAATATTTTTTTTTTCACTTCAATTTTTAAGAAATCAATCTGGGGGGGGGGGTCAATGTATTTACATTGCAAACAGGACACCACCTATCAATTTTTATAAAATTTTATAAATAAAAAAAAAATAAATAAAAATTTAAAAAGTCCTTACTCTTAATATAAAAAAAAATTAGTATTTCTGGTCAAAGTATATGTTGTAAAATGCCACCCTAATTGTACATCAGTAGGTGATTCCATTAAGCATTCAGTATATTGTAAAATTACTATTTTGTAAATATATTATGTTGACTGATAAATAATTTTCATTTTGTTCATCACCTTATTTCTTCAAAAAATTAAAATACAAATACATTTTATTCAATTCTATATTCAATTTTTTTGTAATGACTTGTAACCTCTTATCAAACAGCTCTTTTAAATATTTCAAGTTTTTTATATGAAAAAGTCTTCAACTCTTGAATTTGGTTTTCATTAGAGAAAGTTTTCCCAATCAAAACATTTTGCAGCAAATGTAAAAGGTAATAATCAGTTGGTACAAGATAAAATGAATATGGGGGATGAAGTAAAACAGAATAAGCAAAATTCTAAATTTTTCCTGCATTATTTTTGCTGAATACAACCATACATTTTTGTGGAGGAGTATGACATTTTTTTCTATTGACGATCACAGAGCACTTTTCATCTAAACTTTTATGGACATTGCAGCTGCTGGATATATAAATGTGCATTTAGTGTTTCATTGCATTTTACAAACTCTAGATCAGGGGGTTCCCAACAGGGGTGAAATTCACCCCCAGGGTGTGAATTTGGAATTTCCAGGGCTGAATTGTGACCACAGTAAGTTTAGGAGGGGAGGAGAGCAAATATAGAATTTGGCTTATCTGGCCTGTTACCTTGGAAAGAAGGGGTGGGGAATGGCATTCTGACAAATGGTGAAAGCAGTGCATGGGTTAAGAACCCCTACTCTAGATGAATAAAACACTGACAATCCCAACACACACACACATTTTTCATGGCGCTCAGCTTTGGGTTTGTTTGTAGAGATTTATCTTTCTCAGTACACTGGCTTTTCTGTTGAACATTGCAGCACACAACTCATTTTTCATCAGCTGTAACGACTTATTTAAGGAACAGTAAGTTAGCTAGTTAGGATGATATAATCATCATCACAAATGGTTCCACAAAACAAACATTACTTAGAACCCAATCTTATACAAAAGAAGTATTTGCTTTTAGAAAATTTTGCTTAATAAAATTTTTGTTTGGACAGAAATAACAATTTTGTTATTGAGGGAAGATTATTTGCCTTCAAAATTTTACATTTCTGCATGAAACACGCTTTTCAATTTCTTTGTTTAATACAACATTGGATATAACCCCACTATCCTCAACAAAAAAATAACTGCATTCTGAAAGCCTACCTTAAAGAGTGTACTGGTCTCTTGTGTTGTGTCCAGTTGTTTAATAACCCCAGCTGCCATTAGGTAGGTGCAGATCTGTGTGGTCAGCAATCGCTGCTCAGACTTGCTTAAACTCTGTGAAAGGGGCAATAAGGGGCCACGTCTGTTGTCACCATTGTCATCTTGAAGGCCAGAACTAAGCCATTGGAGCAACATCTGACCTGAATCAGAAGAGAAAGAAAAATAGGTCTTTTTTGATGTTCTATAAACTAGCCTGACATCTAGACAGATTTTTCTTCAATTTAAAGAAAAAGTACAAATTCATTACTACAAACCTAAAGAAACTATAGGTGCATATATATCTGTATACAGGATGTGGCAGAAATACCTCCTACATAATGGTAAGACATTAGTGGCAATGGTGTCTTCATCCAACTAATATCTTACAATTTTGTTGGATTGCTGCCACACCCTATATTAGTTCAAATATGCCCCTCAAATATTTATAACATCAACTGAACCTGTGAAAAAAAAAATTTCTTACAATCTAAAAATATTTTCTGGCTTTAAATAACCTGCAAAGGATTGATAAGCCATAAAAAATGAATCAACCAATCAATCATGCTTGATACTCATTTCACAGCATAGCAACAAGTGTATAACTTCACGAAAAACAGAAATTTGTCTATCAGAGTAGTCTTCATCAGAAACAGAAAAACACCTTGGATCCATTGTTTCTCTCTACTTTCACTCATTTCTTTATCCAAAATATTAAAAGGACAAGAGACAGGATTATCCTGTGGATTAAAGATTATCTGATATACAAAGAATCTTCCTGAAATAGAAAAGAATCTGTATTTGTCAATCAATGCTAAGAGACTTGCACCAGATTTGGGAAAATTGGAAGAATTAAATTCAGTAACATTTATGTGTCTATTGTAGGTGTAGATGAATTTTGATGCAAAAATTAATACGAACAGCTCCAACATATTGCTTTGAAAACTAAACATGTAAGTTTTCTTCATCACATCATTTGGCCAAAATTTGCATAACTATAGTTTCTTTTTTATTTATTTATTTTAAAGAAATAAAAAAGTACAAATCAATATCTAAATGATGCAGAATAAAGTTGAAGAATATACTGACTGAAATATGAGAAAATTTTGAAAAGTTTTATTATTATTATATATATATATATATGGATAAAAATGACAACTGGAAAAAATTACTCAGTTCTTGCATTTTGTCATTTGACTTTATCAAGGCAAGTGATGATAAATTAAAGCAAAATGTGTAGTTACATCAAATTCAAAATTTAAAAAAAAGAAAAAAAAAAAAAGAAATTTAATATATATATATATATATATATATATATATATATATATATATATATATATTAGTTAGTATAGATGATCCTTAAAAATATATTTGGTTATAATTTATTTCATGAATATACAAATATTAATCTCTTCAGACCAACGTTTTTTTTAATTTAAAAAACTTCGGTCTGAAGAGATGAATATTTGTATATTCATGAAATAAATTATAACCAAATGGATTTTTAAGGATCATCTAAACTCATTATTATATTGCCCTGTTCTTACATTGAGCTCGCTTTGGAATAATATCCTCATTGGAATTAACCCTACTAATTATTAATTGAGATTATATATATATATATATATATATATATATATATGTATGTATGTATGTATGTATGGTGGAAGTCCACTCATGACTGAGCATGACCACTTTCTTAAACTCGTTCCGAATCACCTCACCATCTTGCTGGTGTTGTCTAAGATGACTTAAGTTTTGTCACTGATTTGCACTTGAGACCACATGATGGACATGTTTGTCAGTTACTGACCACTGGCTGATCTAGATGTTTTGATTTAAAATGCCTTGTCACAGATGGTACATGAAAAGTCATCCAGAATGTCATATGGAACAGCATTAGGTACCTTTCAATATGATTTCATATGACTGGCCCTACCTGCTTTTGACAAGCAGATATGGCCACAGATGTTACAAGTCAGGTAATCCTTAGATCCATTCCCTGAGAGGAATGTTACCTCCTCCATATGCCTATCCGCATTTCATATATACATACAAACAAATATACATACACACACACACAGTAAGTCTACGAATTCTGACAGTTCCAACTTATGACAATTCATGGTTACAACAATCTTTTATTTGATAATAAATACAATTACGTTGAAATATTTTTTTTCAAATTTTGCAGAAATATTTTTAGGTCTGTTGTTGAATTCAAACATACATGTACACACAATCTGAATAAAACTAAAATGGACATCTGTGTTGCAAAAGCTAATTTCCTTTATTCTCTAGCAATAACCTCTGGGTAACAGGAAAACAGAATAAGCCAAAATGTGCAGCATTTGAAGTCGTTTTTATGACACTTTCTGTATTTAAACTAAACATATTTTCTAATAAAGATAGTATTTAGATTCAACATTTGATCATTTTACCATTACCGAACTAATAAAAATTAAGTTAGCGACAACTTACCTTGAAAGACTTCCAAATGGCTGAAGTTCAATTTATCCGGAATTTCATTTGGCCAATGGATATATTCTTTTAAATTGAGACGTGCCAGTTGAGCATTCGATGCTCCAGCACCATTCATTATTGTACCATTGAGATCAACACTTTCACCTTCTGAATGTACTTCATAGCCTTCTCTCAGACCCTTGTTAGGTAGTAATTTCTGGTAACTGCTACCTGATGAGTTTGTATTATTACTTGGTGGAGTGGTAACATTCGGAAATGTTTCCCCATAATCATTTAAGTCATCTGGCGTCAGGGGTGAGATCACTGTGGTGGTAGTTGTGGGGAGAGACGCTTCGAGTTTTTGGGATTTCAAACCGTTAATACGGGCCATCATCTTGTTGTCATGTTCAATTATTGCTTGGTCTATATCAGTGACCATCACTCCACGTTTGGTCAGTTCCTCAGGATCCTCTGAGCCCTGCCGCGAGTGAGGGTTCCCTGTATCGACAGAATAACTCGCTCGGTGGTGGGACCTGCGATCCATTGGACATTCCTCGTGGGAAGCATCAAATGTTAAACTCCGAGGCGGATCAGCTCCTGGTTTTTGATTACTACTTGGCTGAGAGATAGCCATGGTAAAGGTGCTCGTCATCACTGCGGATGGATTGCTGCTTTCTTTAGGGTCCATGGCTCATTTAGTAGTTTTCTGGTTTGCTAACAAAGGCAGTGGCGTATCACAACAAAAATGATTTCCTTTTGTTTATAGAGTTTTTTTCTCTCTTCAGAAAATAATTCATTACACATGATAGCAAAAACTTTATTTCAAAAATTTGACACCATTCAAAAAAAAAAAAAATATCAAATGAATGTCTTTAATCATTAAAAGTAAATTGCAAAGCAAAATTCACGAAAATTGATGCTGAATTTTTAAATACAGTGCACAGCTGAAAGACACGTTCAAAAATTGTCAAAAGACATTTTAAAAAGAAATAAATATCTAAGAGAGAGAGAGAGAGAGAGAGAGAGAGAAATATATTAATATTCAAAATGGTTCATACAACTGAACCAAACTTTTAAAATTCTTAGAAAAATATTTCTACCAAAATCAAAGCACCATATTGTTGGATTTTTTTTCTTAAGAATCAATGCTTAGTGGGTAAATTTTATTTTTCATTCGTTTTTTTCCCTTTAAGAATCAATGTTTAGTTGAGAAAATAGAAAAGAAAAAAAAACATGATCACAACATCCCCAAAATTTTCAAAGTAGCCATTCTGTATTTTTTTTTTTTTTAATATAAAATGTCAGTGATAAACAGAATGAGAGTTTCTGGATGCAGCTTTCTCAGGTCAGATCCAAATGTGTGGGTGTTGGGGAAAGACAAACCAACCTCAGATGTGGGTCATGATTTTGTTAATTTGTAACTTGACATCATCATTGAAAGCACTGAATAAATACCTGTAGAAAGAAAAAAAAATTACAGGTGACATTCTTCATTAACTGAAAACATGAAACAGGAGAAAGCATTAAACCTTTTCACCTGACAATCACCAAGAAAGTACTTTTTAAAAAAAATCCCTTATCTAAAATTTTTCCTTTTTATTAATAACCATGTTTTGGATCATTTCATATATTGAATGTCTACCAGTTCATTTCACAGATTACTGCTAGCAAGATTAATTATTTTAGCCTTAGAAAGCTTTGTATGTGTGTTTTTTGTTGTAACAAATCTACTGGACAGTGTCAGGTATTGTCAGGTGGCCTGAGATGTTAATTAGGACCACCTCACTTTAAAAAAAAAAAAAAAAAGAAAAAGACATGATGGACAGAGCTAAATAGTAAGTTTTAAGACTAATACAGGATAAGTCAAAATAATGTTAACACTAGTATGAGAGGAATTATTTATTCAGAGTTTACTGAACAGTCTCCACCTGTCCACCAGCACAATTGATGCACAAAACCCAGCAATCAACAATACATTTCATTGGAAATGTTTCATATTACGCCTTTTATTCTGTCCTTGAGTTCTTCGATCTCTAACATTTTTGCTATACATACGATCCTTTATCATACCCCCATAAGCCACTTTGATTTTTTTTCGGAGCACTTTTTCTGCTTCCAGCATAGGTAATGCCTGGGTCAGAATGGATGTATTCTGGAAATCTGATCTACCAGACAACCTCAAGCAGAGATTCTTTTAAACCACAGTAAAGATGATGTTAATGTATGATGCCATTGCCTGGACATTAACTAAAAATCTTGAGTCTAAGCTTGATGGAACGTACACTAAGATGCTAAGAGTTATACTTAACATCTCTTGGAGACAACATCCAACTAAATCACAACTTTATGGATCCATTCCTGACATTTCTGCAATCTTATGTAAATGCAGAATTTGCTTTGCCAGACACTACCGACAAGCAAAACAAGATCTCATGAGTGATCTACTGCTCTGGACACCTAGCCATGACGCAAGACGGGTTGGTCACCCAGCAACCGCCTACATTGACTAGCTATGCCATGACACAGACTACCATTCTAATGAACTTCAGACTGTGATGCAGGACCATAATGGCTGGTATGATAGACTCACGAATGTTCAAGCTAGCTCCACTGACTCAAATAACTTATTTGAAATCCCCATTCTGAAAAGAAACATTGGTCATTTCAAATGATTTTTTGTCCTCTAAGCAAGACAAGAGGTAACAAAGAGGCCGTTCTACAGAAGGATTCTGAGAATACCATGGATGGAACATGTGAGCAATGAGGAAGTCTTAAGAAGATGGGAACATAAAGAACACTTGTACTTTAAAATTAGAAAGTTCAAATTTCTGGGTTTGTTTGAATTTTTATGGCTTATCAACCTTTTGTAAGTTATTTAAAGCCAGAAAATATGTTTAGATTGTAAGAATTTGGGGGAGATAAGAATGATTTACTGATACAAGTTCTACAAATTAACCCATAGCTGTTGTGAGAAAAGGCAGATTCACACTCTTCCCAAGCGTATTTGTGCATAAGTAAATATAACAAACCCAACTGAAATTGAAACTCAGCTGTCTTATTTCCAATTCCCAGCCATTAAACATTACACCACCTCCACATCCAAGCTTACAGCTCCTGTTACCTATCTAGATACTGACCAGGTTCAATGTTGCTTAACTTTGGTGATCATATAAAAACTGGTGTTTCAATGTGATATAGTCACAAACCTTAAAATTTTGGGGATGCATAATGAAGAAAGAGGACTTGGATAATTTAACATATATTGAAAGGAAGAGGGGGAAAAATGAGTAACCTACTTAAAGAGCTTGTGTAAATAGATGGCAGAACACTAAGAAGATAAGCATTGCATTGCATAGATGCAAATGAAGCGCAGATTTTAAAGAAATGCACTTCATATCCCTGTTAACCTTCACACACATGAATTCCAAGACAAAACAGTAATCCAAGTTATCTCATCAATAAATTCACAATGAACTTCATTGACAGAAAGACAATTTTTTTCAAGATTTGTCATTGTGACTTGTGGAAGCTAAAACATGACTAAGTCTTTAAACGATATTTCATCAGGTTTGAAACACAAATGACACTTTTTTTTTTTAAACTGATTTTTTCTTACTTAAAGCTTCTGTTTTAAAGTTTTCTCAAAGCAATACAACATTTTCAACCGACATTTTCCACAAAAGAAGACAAAACTTTACGCTCAGACTTAGTTCTTTCTTATCATGTGTTTCAAAATTAACCAAAAATGATATTCAATACAGGAAACAAATGCTCTCAATTTGAAAGTTGGGGTCCAAGATGATAAATATATATTTTCCAAATACTTACTGTTTTTTGAGGAAAATAGTTTAAAGATTAAGTTTAGATTCAAAATCGTAGCATTGGAATTTCATTGTAGTTGTTAGCAAAAGCCATGCATCACAAACTTGTAACATTAATTAATTTCCTAAAGCTTCACAAACTGTATATGGACAACATGTATGACATACACATTTGAGCACCTTGGTGTAGTGTAATGGTTAGCAAGCCTGTCTCGCTATATCAGTTACGAATGAAAAGTGAGTTTGATCCTCACTAGGGGTCTCATACTTTTGGCCTTGTGCCACATCTAAGCTATGCTTAGAAAATAATCACACACATTATTACAAAATCATTATGCCATCAAATAAGATTATGTTAAAGAGAAATTATAATGAACAATTTAGGTATATTATGATGCAATATATAACACAGTGCTGTAATTTTCATGCAATTTTCAATAAACAATGCAAATTTAAAGTTACTTTTCCTTGTTTTTTTCATTTGCAGTATTTCGTGCCCATCATGAATGCCAAAAAAAAACAAAAAAACTTCTATATAAAAATGATCCATGTCAATGTATATGTGCATTGTGCAAATATAGAAAAGAATGAAGATTTTCAATAATATATGCATATTATTTGGAATGCACCTTTTGAATCAGACAATCTTGGCAAGCAGGGTGAGGAATGATATTCTGACATATGCTGAAAAGGGTTCATTGGGCAAAAAAGGTGAAGAACCACTGTACTAGATGAAGTGCCTTCACACCTGTCAAGAATGTTCATCTCACCGACATAAGTCTTATGCGAATTGGAGTACATAAAGTTTTGGCTAAGTTCTGCACAGTCCTATCTAAGCAAAAGAAATGAAACATCCAAACTAATTAAAGAGTAATAAGTATATTCACTGAACTACTTCATAGAAAAAAAGTATATATATATATATATTTTCTTCTTGCTCTGCTAAATTAGGGGAGAGAGGCCATATATATATATATATATATATATATATATATATATATATGCCCACATAGTTACCTGTAAAGGTATGTATAGCCTTCTAGCCATGTGCATGATTGTTTACACTAAAAACTTACAGATAATCACTATACTGATCATTATCTGCATCTTATCTTAATCTGGATAATTGCAGTTTTGGATAATCCATAATCACTGAATTATTTATTTATTTTTTTTTTTTTTTTAAATCAAGAAACATTTAACTTACTTGTTTTTAATCTATGCAAATGAAAGTGTCTATCTGTCTGTCCGTCCACTATAAACTCAGAAACTACTAGATGGATTTCAACCAAATTTGGCATACAGATGAGCTATGATCCAGGTAATGCAATAGGCTATGTAAAGTTAGCTTAGATCAAACCTCAAGGTCATAAAAATGTTAAAATTAAGGTTAAAGAAGCTATTTCTCATGGAATTTATATATTTATCCTCCTGTAAAAAAATATAGTAATAAGGGAGGTAATTCAACATATAGCAGTAAATAATGTATGGTTATTTCCCTTAGTCATTTTAATAATCTATATGAATAAGTTGAAGTGTCTGTCTTTTATTTAGTTCCTGAGCAATGCTGAGTATCTCAGCTCATAATTAAATAATTACTGATTTATGTTTAAGTCTCTCTTTGCAAATATCGAGTTTAAGACGAATTAAATTTTATCAGATTTTAAACAAGTCTTCATATTTGTATTTACCTTAATAAAGCAATATGTCTGTTTATTAACAGTTGCAGATATTTAAAAAAAAAAAAAAAAAAAAAAAAAAAAGACAAATTGAAGCGTTGAGAAATTCAATTAGTACCATTTTGCCAAAGGTACCGACTCAATTTATGTCCCATTTTAGTAATTCTCAAAATAATTCAATGTTTTTC